TTATGGTCATGGACAAAGGCAGTACAACAAAAGACACGAAGAGGAACAAAAGAGGTAAAAGGCTTGAAGTGAGGTAATTTAGTGGAAATGATATCCCGTGGACACTTAAAGGTAAGAATCTTACTAGGCAAAAGATTGATTAGAAAAGTAACTGTTAAGAGAGCCTCATCCCAAAAGATCTTGGAACATTAGAAGAAAAAAAGGAGTGCCCAAGTTACCTCAAGAAGATGACGATTTTTACGTTCGATGACCCCATTTTGTTGTGGAGTGTCGACATAAGAAGTCAGGTAGAGTATTCCATTTTCCAGGAAGAATGATCCCAATGACTGAGAGAGGTATTCCCCACCATTATCAGATTTAAGGATGCCAATGGAACTTTGGAATTGTGTTTCAACCATTTTGTGGATTCTTTTGAAGATGGTACAAGACTCAAATTTGTTATTCATAAGAAATTCCAAGTGGTACGAGAGTTGTCATCAATAAAAGTAATAAACCAACGAATTCCATGTAAACCCGTAACCCGTGAAGGTCCCCAAATGTGTTTTGCAAGAGAGGAAATGTCACAAGAAAATGATGCGGGATTTTTATTAATAAATAATTTGGGAAACAATTTTGTAAGATAAGAAAAACTTGGGTGACCTAACCTAAAATGCCATAACATATTGTCGGCAGCCGCATCTGTGGGAGAAACTGAAACAAAAGAAGAGATAAATGGTGTAGGTGAGTGGTTGGGAACGAGAGTATAAGGAGGGACGTTAAGGATGTTAGTCCACCACGATGCTTAGCGTTGCCAATCACCAGCCCTGAGGTTAAATCCTGAAATTCACAATAATCACGAGTAAAATGAGAAGTACAACCTTAATAGGTAGATAATTTGCTAATTGAAAGCATATTACAAGTCAAACTTAGAACAAATAGAACATTAGACAGTAATGTGGCTATTAATGTGAATTGAGCCACTGCCTTTAACCGGTGATAGGGAGCCATCAACAGAACGAACACTGCATGAGATACCATTTTTGTGAAATGTGGAAAATAAACTAAAAGTTGCACGTCATATGATCACTTGCTCTGGAATCAACAATCCAAGAGACACACCCTGGTGAAGGGGATAAGAAGGTAAAAGGAGAACTAACTTCACTAATAGTGCAGGCAGACTTGGACTCAGTAGCAGGAGAAATCTGTAAATGACAAAAAATTTGTCATAGATCGTCCAACTGTTGACGAGAAAATGAACCACTTTCTAATGTCGTTACAGCAGAGTTACCGTGAGATGGACGCTAGGAGGATTTGGATGGAGTCCAGTTGGTTGGACGACCATGGAGCTTCCCAGTATTTATCACAAACATGACCAGGTTTTCGACAGTGATCGCACCAAGGATGACCTTTCTTAACACAGGTGTCACCAGATGAATAGGTATTTAAGGCAGAACTTTCAACGGGTAAAGGAAGCATCAGAGATCGGCGGATTTCTTCGTGGAGAACTTCAGAGAACACCTCGGGAAGATATATGATAGGCCTGATGCCCAGAATCCGGCCATGAACATCATCAAGAGATACGAACAATCCCTATAGCAATTGAAAAATATGTCGTTTTCAAGTAGCCCTTTGTAGAGTTTGGCATCTGTATCGGTTTGCCAATCGGGAGACTCAAACATATCAATTTGCTGCCATAAGAGAGACAGTTGAATAAAGTATTATATAATAGTGAGATCGCTTTACTTCAAGTCGTTGATTGGGCATTCAATGACAAACAGAGTGTACGAGTTTTCCTGATTAGAGTACGTCTCCTTGGCGGCGTTCAAGATTTCTGAGGCGGTGGTGTAGAGCATGAAGTTCACGCTAATGTCAGACAACATAAAGTTGAGGAGCCAGGACATAATCATGGTGTTATCGATGAGCCAAGTGTCGTATTGGGGGTCAGATGGATCGGGGACCGATATATTGTCAGAGAGATATTATTATTTCCGGCAACTGGTGATGAATAGATGCACGGATTGAGACCAGGAATGTAATTCTCACCATTTAGACGATGACAAGTAATGGACGAGGAAACCGAGTCGGAAAGAGACGACTAAACAATGAAAGTTTCAGCCTCGGATAACAGGTTGGACGAAGAAGGATATGCCATGACTGCCGAGGAATTGAGAGCTTGTGATATGTCGCGAACTAGCAGGGAACACTACTATAAGTGGTAATCGGAGATTTGAGGAGTTCGACGCTAGAATGAGTATCGGATGGGTTGAATGGCGAGGAGACAATGCTGGTCGGACAGTTACTAACAACAGTAGAATATGTACCAAACAACGGTGAAACATGTACCAAACAGAGGAACAGGACGTGCTGCCACTGTGATGAGGGCAGCGTTAGACCGACGACGTGACAAGAGCAGTAAGACGAGGAGAGCAGTGTTGCGACAGAAGCGACACTACTATGGTTTGGCAGCAAGAAAGACGGCGCTGCGAAGAGGGTAGCGTTACGATAATAACGACGATTAGAGAGGTACGACGATGCGAGGAGAACAAGGTTGCTATGAGGAAGGTGCTACAAAGGATTTCACAATTGGAAGGACGACAGTGCACAAAAGACACACTGCTGGTCGGAAGGATGACGAACGACGGCGGCAGCAAGGCAAGGATCGACGTCGGCAACTGATACCATGTAGAAACAGAGTTTTCTGGATCTGGTAAACAGAGTTTTTCGACTATGGTAAACAAGGTTTTTTTATTCTGATTTTTTTTTATTCAAAGAACAATTACATATTACACAAGAGGATACATAGGATTTTTATATACATGAATTAGAGACCTATATAAGATAGGAGTCATCTTTTCTACAAATTAGGATATAGTTTTAGAGATAAGTTAGGACTTAGAGTTTAACTTAAACATTACTTACAGACCGTACCTGCCGCATTCAAAACAAATAGTTGACAAGGCTTCATATTCAACCGATTAGAGGCAACCATTGATTATGATCTTTGAGATTAAAGGCTTATCCAGATCAATATGAATGGCCACGTGGGCGAAACGATCACGCCTATCATTTTCCATTTGGAAATCAATTTTAACCATGCCCGACCCAATACATGTACCAGATGGGCCTTAGCCTAGGGCAGCATGTTTGAGGGGGGCATCCGTTTTTTAATACTTATAGTGTGTATATATATATTTGGCCTGAGAAGAAAAGACCCTTGCAAAATAGGTTGATGCATAATATTCGAACCCACTAGTCCAAAATCATCAACAAGATTAGAGTTATCCCCAAGCGATGGGCTGGATAGCCCAGACCCAGATATAGTTGGGACCTCAAAAAGGTTCATTCCGCTAGATACTGATTCGATAAGATGGGCAGGATTCTCCAGAATACTTAGGGATTCAGATGCCTCTTCAAAACCTTCCATCTAACATCCTTAACCTACTAAACTATCAATCATTATGTTTTCCTCGTTTCTTTCATACTCGATAAAATGAATCGAACACGTGTGGGTCCCATCAGCCTCAACTAACCCGTCATCTTCCTCGTATTCTTCAACATGTAATTTGATCACATAGTTGCTGCCTTTAAGAAAGACAATCAATCTCTCATGGATTATAGATTCTTTTCGAACCACGATCAAAACCCTAGCCTCATCAAATCTATCACGGTTTGATGTTTCTTTGTCAACATTTACCACCCTACCCCAACTGTTCAAGAAAAAATTATCGTTCCAAATCTGAAGTGGCACATCCTTAAGGACCACCCAAACCAGAGATTCATCATTTCAACTCTGCTATATCGTAAAATAATAGAGGTTTTTTCTTCAAAAAATGCACGAAGGCATAATTTTAGGTAATATTTGTAGCTTTGTCAATTTTTATTTGTATTAGTATTGATATTGTTTGACTATAATTTCTATTACATTTTTGTTTTAAAAAATTATTTATGTTTTGTCTATTATACGCTACAAGTATAGGGGCATAAAATTATTATCTCGCCCAGGGCATTAAAACTCATTGGACCGGCCCTGATCATAACATGGAGGCTAGGTAGACGGATCCATGCAATTATTTTCTTCGAGTGCATCTGCATTGTAGAGAAGTCCACTGTCCATGGTGTTGAATATTCTAGATGGCAGCCAACATTATTGAAAGCTGATAGCAGCCGTGGCAGCCGGCTGCTGCAAATTATAATTTAAAGTTAGGCATTATTTTATTGAAATAGAAATAGGGTTAATTACAAGATTAATCCCTAAGTTTCAACTATAAATACCCTAACCCATTTAACTTCAATATCATCCCAAAGCATTCTAGCTTTCTTCCAATACTAGAGAGTTTTCTTGTGAGTAGTGAGTGTTTTGTAAACATCTGTAAATTTTCTCTCTTAGTAAAATATCTGCAGCAGTCCGGAGACGTATGCACGATTGGCTGAACTCTGTTATCAATTTCGGGTATTATTTTTCCGCTTTTATTTTGTATTCTCACTAATCTTGTTATAAGAAAATTACCCGTACTTAGTTTATTTCCCAACACATGGTTCCACGATCAAATAGTGTTTGAAAATCACCCAAGGCCCTTCTGAAATTACCTTTAGAAAATCAGAATGAGTACGAAAGATAATTAGGTAGTAATCGTTCTCGATATCCATAATACAGACTGATTGAGAAGGCTTCCAGAGATCATAGATTTTGTTACGGAGGGTGGAGTAGCCAATCTTCCGACCCATTAGCTCGAACACAACAGTCTGATAGAGGCTCTTCGAGGCCAAATCCTGCACACGACTAGAAAAATCAATTGAGATAATACCATCAAAAAGGCTACGGGTGACATCGCCCTCCATTAATTCAATCTCCTCATCATCAATGATGGGTTCTTCCGTTTCTGATTGTCCGATTTTCTCGCCAGTGAGAGTCTCCTTGTAAGAAAGGACGGGATGAGTAGGGTGGTTGGGTGGCTGGTTAGAGACCCCAACGCCATTCAAAGGCAACTATTAATCCAAAAAAATGTAGGTGAAAAGAGATGAACCAAACTGATTTTTATTTACCAATCAACATAGTTTACAGAAAAAATTACAAGCAACTATTAATACAAAAAAAGAAAGCATCCAACATTATGCAAAACATCAAAGAAACACACAATCAAAAACCAAAAATCTTTCCTTTTGCAATCAACTTCGTGGCTCGGCTGCTTGTTGATGGCATTGCAATGAACACTGCCATTCCCAAAGCCACATTTTGGAGCAAACCAGAAGCCTCTAATGGCGAAGTAACTCAGAAAATATTGATTTGCAGATCTTGTAGTTCAGGGTCCTCTGCTTTCTCTTCCTTCACAATTTCAGTTGTGGAGATTGGAACTTCAAGCTCAGGTGGGTTCTGAGTGCATTCAAAAAATAGCACTTCAGTTTACATAATAGCTATGCACATCTCACCAACTTAATGAACCAAACAATGTAGGTTATGCTAAAACTTCTTTTATTACTTGAATGAGTTGAGTTGCAAGGGTATTGAATTTACCATCCATCGAACCAAAGCCCAATTTACGCCTTTGAAGAATGGATGTCGTTTGATTTCATTGGCGCCTTCACGCGAACCTAGTCTGTTTTTCGAATCTCGATGCAATAAGCGGTATATCAACTGCTTTGCATGGAGATTTACCTGCATTCATGCATATATTTATTTGGATTGTCACTTAAAAACTGCAGTAATAAAAGAGAGATTTGGGGAGAGAATTTTACTTGTATGCTTCTGGGAAATTTAAGATCTTTCTGCAGAACATTGGCAAATGTCTTCTGCCTTGTCTTTCCCCTGAATGGCGTGTATCCATAGAGCATTTCATAGAGAAGAATGCCTGAAATGGAAGGGAAAAAAAAGGAAAATTCATTTAGTTGTGTAACTACAAGGTTTTCATAGGGATGGTTTCTGATATTCTCCTTTCTTCTTTTTAGTTACTTTTTCAGCAAGTAATTAAACTATAGTCTAAACTAGCCTCTGGCTTTGCAATTCATGTATCTTATCATGTTCATGTAAAATCATGCAATTTTGGATTACAGTATTGCTTTGTAAGAAAACAAAATTACCTAGAGCCCACCAGTCTACAGCGCTGGTGTGGCCTGCCCCGGTGATAATTTCCTGCAAATAATCAACAATTCATTATTGAGCATTCAATAGGGAAAAAAACCCCATAAGAACTATACGTATTGATATGAAATGCAAGAATTCCTAGAGCAAGCGAACAAACCGGAGCTATATACTCTTCGGTCCCCACAAAAGAATTCGATGCACGCATTGGTTCGGCCATAAAGATCGGATTCTGCTGGCTTTTCTTCCGTTTTTTCTTTTCATCCGTAGCTGGGATCAGCAGCTATAAACACGGCTCATGTATCAGATTTGCTACCGAAACTTCGAAAATACAGTAAAAAACCATTTTCGTCTAGATGCCAAAGCTTGGATTTCAATACCTGTGGTTTGCAAGATGTCAAACAAGATAAATCAAAATCAGTCAAGGCAACATGCCCGTTGCCCTGGAGTAAAACATTTTCAGGCTTCAAATCTCTGTATATAATCCCTGAAAGAAAAGCAACTATAAGAATTGATTGATCACTTCACTGATACTGCCAGATTCATTGATGTATTTGATTTTAACCAACCTTGACAGTGAAGGTACTCCAATGCAATAACAACCTCTGCTGCATAAAATCTGCATTCATAAAGAACTTTAGTCCCATTCTGATTCATACATCACAATAAAATGGAAATCCCACAAACCCAGAATCGGTTAGCTTATTAGATAATCAGAGATTTTCAGAACAAGATTAAGGTAGTTTTGATCACGGTGAAAAGAATATTTACCTCACTGCATCTTCCTTCATGACCTTCTTTGGTTGTCGGTCCAAAAGGATGAAAAGTTCGCCACCAGGACAGTAGTCCGTGATCAGACAAATATGTGTTTTGGTCTGCAAAGTGTCTACGGTTAGAATTATGATGTCTTCATATAAAAGTGTGGTGACATTAGAGCAGGCAGCTATAAAAGAAAAAGCTCAATAAACAAGACCGGAAAATTTTGTAAATTAATTACATTTCAAACTATCATTTGACTAACCTGAAATGATGCATATAATGCTGGAAGAAAAGGGTGGTCCAACATGTCAAGAATCTCTCTTTCTGCACAAGCTCTATGCACCTATAGCAATGGAAGGCAAGGCATCATTAAATAGTAAACATATGAAAATCTGGGTACATTTATAATCATGCAATTTCAGATACCTTGTTGCGGTTCAGCATAACATTTTTATCCATAGCTTTCATCGCAAAGTGCAGGCCAGTCCACATAGTTCCACCAAATGAACACTGCCAAGAAAATAAAAAGCACAATAGCTGATATAAAAATTTGTATGACTGAATAGATATGAATTATCATGCAAACTTTAAGTGTCAAATAAGAGCAAAGTAATTAGACAGACCTGCCAGTGTCACCTGATCCCAATGGTTTTACAGGCCTAAAATGTTTTAGACTTATCTTTTCTCCACTGTCAAGTACCTACAAAATATTAAGGAAAATCGAGTTTTTGGGTTTGTTTTAAAGGATACTCGGGCCGTGTCTGCATGTATGAAAGAATAATACCTTTTGAATAGCTCTCCAAGAGGGGGTATCCTTCCTGTGAGGTTTAGGGTGAACCAACTTGGAATGACTCATCCATAGATCTTCGGGATTCTGCAGGTAGTGAAAATGTGAAATATGTTATATGATTTTTGTAAGACAAAAAGAGCTTTGATCTTGTGAAGAGTGTCAACATTCAAACATTACCATGTTGGCGTCCGGAAGTTCCCTCACTGCTTCATCGACATTTTCTGCAGTTTGTTTCACCTGCAAGCACGGATTATGCTAATATGTCATAACAAGCCAACAAATTGATACATTTTTTAATAATACTCGAAGATTTCGATGACAAATCAGGAAGATCAGCATCAATAAGCAAATCAAAAGTAGAGAACAATGGAACTCAGTTAAGAACGCAAGGGTTTAGAAAACAAGTAAAGAAAGTGAGAATCTGAGAAAAGAGTTCATACCAGTTGTTCACCCTCTTGTGCAGCAGTATCTGGAATGCAGTTATGAAGCGGATCGACTTTGGCGCTGCCATCTAGCTGCACTCCGATGAAATACTGTACTTCTCCCTGTTCATAAAAGTGAAAAAAAAATCAGTGTGAATTTTGTTCCCAAGTCAGAAAGCCGTATCTAGCTGAATTTTTTATCATTGCTTAGCTATGGAGTCATATGGCAAGATGAAACATCCATATTCCACCATAAACATTTAGAGGATTTTACCTTCTGATCACGCATAGGCTGTAGATGGAACAGGTTCCAGAATTTCTTGCCTGCAACGTGTACAAAAATGCTTTAAATAATTAAGGACTAGGAAGATAAACTCCTTAAATACTGAAAGACAAGAACGTTACATTCATGACATGAATCTGGAAAACTGAAGATTATGCCTCATATTTAAGCAATTCCAGGGTGTTAGAACTTGAAAAATGTTAATAACCATACCACTCTTAGTGTAGTTAATGAGCTGCACAGTTACTTCTGTCTGGTTATCAATTGCCTCTCGAATCTTCCTTACAGTAGCCGGATCAGTTTCGGGGCCTTGTAGAAATCTATAAGGTTTTAACAACAGCACAAAATTAAATGAAGTGAATTCCATTTTTAGTTCAAACTCAATATTTTAGCTAGACATCAGCTAAAAAAGGCTATGGTTTAAGTTCATTCTTTACCAGCTTTTCAAACTATTTAAACTATCAGATATGAGTGAGGATACCTGCAATTTCTGCCCAGGATTTCCTCACGACTGTACTCTGTCAGCTCCAAGAAGCTATCAGAGGCAAAGATCTGAACATTAAGACAAGTAGAATCATTTAGTTTCATACATAGTTAATCTCAGATTTGCATGATCTACCATTAAAAGCATAAAAGTTAAGAGTTCAAAAGTCTTACAATGGGATTATCAGGCAACCTGGGATCGGTAATGACAAAGTTTTTCTCTATACGTTCAAGCGTGGTGGCCAAATCAATACCCTTTCTCATTTCCTTTTTCTAACTTTGTCATCAACACTGTCTGGCCTCTCATCATCATAATCACTTTCGTCCTCATCAGCATCCACCAGCAGGCTATTGTCAAAGCTGTCTGCAGTAGACTGGCTTTTCCTCATAAGCCTGGTATGCATAATTTAAGATGAACGCTTCCATTAAATACCAAGTTTTTTTGTTATTAGCAGCTATCATAGTAAAGATTTGATTATAAATTTATACCCCATGAAAGAAAGACGAGTGGATTTTCTGGGTTTCTTCTCAGGAACTTCACTGATACGTTCCATTGAAAGCCGCATACCACCATTGGAGTTCCTTCTATGAGGAGGCACGCTTTCTGAGTTTCGCCTCGCCATAGATACACCGCCTTCTTCTTCATCTTCTTCTCCACCGCCTGATTTTCTAGTGAAAGGACCATTTGATGATTCACTAAGTGAACGTGGCTTCCTAACTGCTTCCACCAGCTCTGTGACCGATCCTGCAGCCATGTCCCTTTGCCGGGCTGCAATACCATGATATCAGGTAGCTCGTATCTTGGTAAAATTGACGTATATTGTTACAAGATCAAATGAAAATGAAACCATTTTCAGTAAATGGAAGCATTTTGACTTTTCAAGATATATAAATTTTGATCGAATATATAATATGATACATAAAATTATAAGTACGATTTATTCTTAATTGTATTTCTGGTACTACGTAACTAATGCATGCATGTCCTGGGAAAATAGGTTGGGGGTACTTCATAATTTACAGATATAAACTAGTTGAGTCAAACTAAGTTCAAAGTTGTTTGATATACTCCAAAACTCGTGGCCGTGGGCTTAAAAATTTAAAGTTCGACTCAAATTCAATAAAATTAAACTCGAAACATTCTCATACTTAGTTCGATTAAAGTTTGAACTCAAGCTCAGTTCAAGCTCAAACACAAACCTACACCATAATTACATCAAAACCCTATTTTATTTTTCTTAGAAAAACATATGGGTATTAATTTTATTAATAATTTAATTAAAAAATAATATATTATTTGTTTGATTGCTTGTGAACTTTTCTAATCAAGTATCAAATAACTCATTTCAACTTGTTAAAAATTTAAATCAAATCTATTCAATTCCAATATTAATAGAATGAAACTCGAATAACTTACGATACGTAGGCAAACTTATTTACAATCCTAATTGACATTGGTTCTTGGATGTTAAAATTACTATTAATTTAATTTAAAAAATTTAAAATTAATATATTTTTACTCATAAATTTTTTAAATCAAATTTCAAATAACTCATTTTAACTTATTAAAAATTCAAGTCAAATATATTTGATTCGAGTTTTGATCGGACGAAACTTATTAACAATCCTAGTTGGCATCGGTGCATCGATGCACATATTTCTATTTCTTTATAAAAAGAAAATGTCTTATTTTAATATTTTAAAAGTGAGACGGGATACGGTAGAAAATGTACCATCGTATCGAATCAAGGATTCAGGCAATCCATTGGGGCGCATCACCTTTTCCTTGGCACCTTCCGTATGCTTGCTCACCTCCACTTGCATTCTGCCAAATCATTCAATCAATTATTTATTGATCCCCCATCAAACCAATCAGACATCCCCACACCACAAAAGAATATGAATCCTGTGGGTGAGAACTGATAACGACCGCATGTGAGCCACCCCCAACAAGTTGCCACCAAAATTACACATCGGGACAACGACACCGCCATTATTTTTCTTCCTTATCCCTTCCTTCTTATTTTCTTGTGTCATGTTACGAATATTATTCGGATAAAATATATTAATGATCATTAAACTGTGTTAAAATAATTTTATAATTATTGAATTTTTAAATGTTATAAAACAATCATTTTGTATTAATTTAATAAGTTTAATGATTATTTTATAATTTAATATTTTAGTGATCGAAATAAATTATTTTAAGCAATGAAAAATACATATTAATTAGCCTCTTTCTCAAGAATTGAGGTTCGTTTTAACACTTAAGTTAACGAACTTGGACTACTAATTTAGTTAACATTGATATTTTCATAAGTTTCTTTTTTTTATGCAAGTTTGAGTGTAGACATATTACGTGAGTTTAGGTCAAATATTAAAATATTAATGGCTCATATACTATATAAGCCCTTAAACTTGTCATTTTATTTGAAAATGAACTCTTAATCTTTAACTTGTCTCTGGTGAAGTCCTTGACCTTTATTTTATATCTAAATACAAATTATCAATATAAATCAATATTTTTTTTGAAATAAGGGTTAATTTAAATACAAATCAAAAGTATAGAAGCTTATTTGGGTATAATAAAAGTATAAATAAGCTAGTTCAAGGGCTGTTTTAATAGTTTAGCCTATATAGATTCATGAAATATTTCGCTTTTACTACCGTTTTCTTTCCCTTTAAGATTAAAGAAAAACAAGACCCAATAGAGGATAAATTGCAAACTAACCCGATGAACTTTAGGACCTTTCCATTTTCGTCCTTGATGGGTGAAATTGTAAGAAGATTCCAAAAAGGGGTCCCATCCTTCTTGTAATTCAACAATCTCCCGCAATAATTTTTCCCTGCCTGCAATGCTTCCCTAATCTTCGCCACGTCTTCCGGGTCCGTACCCGCTCCCTGCAAAAACCGACTGGATCCCAGCAAAATGTCAATAGTACCCTTTCATGACCGTTATTTACAGTTAATAAAACCACAGTAAAAAGGTAAACAAATCAACATGATATATTTACCAATTCCTGCCTATGACTTCCCTTGAAGTGTATCCGGTCATCTTAAAAAACCCGGCACTCGCATATAGAATCGGGTAATCGGGTTTGGTAGCATCCGAAACAACAAACGTTTGTTGGAACGTTGATAATGCATCCTTCAAGTCCTCGGATACTCTAGGGAACCCTCTCTCCTTGCTATTCTCATTATCCAATTCTTCGGAGCTCCGAACCGAATTATTCGAATTCCTACTAGAGGTACCCGGCTTGGCATTCGGGTCATCCCCGCCCGAATTCCGAACAACAACTCCCTGCGGTTTACCCGTCTCGTTATCCGTTTTCAGTACCAACCCCCATTCCGCTGCTCTCTTTGCGGCCACTCCGGCTTCGTCGGAAGGTTTCGGACTCGCGGTCCCACCGCCATTTTGATCGCCGGAGAACTTATGAACGTGCTGCGACGACGCTAGTGAAGACAGTGCAGGAGCACTCGGTTCTTTGAGTGCCATCCATGATGTAATTTCCTCAACCCGACCCGAATTAGAGGCTAGCTTGCAAGTGTCGGCTTCTTCCTCACCGCGTCGCTCTGTCAAGTTTTCCCAAATGGGGTGCGGGCGAAATGCCGGGTTAACGGGTCGGGTTGATAAAGTCGATGGATTAAACACTTCGAGTGAGCCCCTTGGGTCCCTTGGCAATGGTGGAATCAGTTTCGATTGCTTGGATGAGTTTTCCATCGGCTCCATATCTGCATAACTTCAACGTCAATACAAACAATAATGAAAGATGGAAGGAATCAAATTATACCAAATTTCACATTGTAGAGGGACTAAAACCATAACTAGACCGCTCAAAAAATCTATCAACGGAGGGGAAAAAACACATAATAATTGATAGCCATACAAATAATTGAATTACCAGCTGGAAATAGTACTAATAGAGATGAGGGTTCGTCCATGTCTTATATGCCCATGTTTCATTTTCAACATCAATGGTGGGGCATGAACCATGAGGTTGAAGATAGATAGATAGATGCTTTCGAAGATAAAATTAAAGTATCATGGTTAACAAAGTATACATCACAAGGTCATTTCAGGTAGGTTTTGAACATCAAGCTCCACGTTAACTTCTACTTTTGGTAACCACAAAAGTAGAAGTGATCCAGAACTTCGTCTTCTTCCATACAGAGACAATTTTTCATTTTCAGAATAAGAATATTAATAATTTTAAAAAAAGCCAGAAAATATTCAGGAAATTTGATGAGCACGTACGAAATTCTTGAAAGAAAATAGGAAAATCTTTTTAAAATGAAGAAAATGAGGGCTTACCTCAGGCTGAGTTCTTCACAATAGCTTATTTGAAGATCATGCAAAAGAAACCACCTTTTATCGGCAAGCAAAAAGGAACAAGATTTGGTTTTCTCATCCTTCCTCCCATACCTCACATGGCTCTGGCCATTCTGCTCGTATCCCTATAACTCAATCATCAAACCATTTCTTTCTCTTAAAAAAAGAGAAGAAAACACAATGATATGAGGTTGTGTTTTTATAAATGAACCAATCCACTCACCTTGCTGACTCACTGATTGAGTGATTTGTTGGTCGCTTTCTGCTTGGAATCAATTTACAGTCTGGAAATGGGTTGTCAATACAAGAAGGAGAAGAAACAATAGCAATAAAACCAGAATCGGTAGAAAAAAACAGTAGCAAGTTTCGAGAGCTTGTCCTCCATCAATACTCCATCAATACTTTATTTGTTTCCTTTGATGTCTCATTGTCTCCAATAAGCAGCCAAAAGTTTTTCTCTAATGCGTTTGGTTCACGGAATGTAAGATTACCTCCGGGAATAGGATTACCGGAATGTAATATTACCTAACACATTACTGAGAATGTTACATTACTGTGTTTCATTTGTTTGGTAGTAATGTAAGATTACAGTGTTTGGTTGAAGGAATAAAAGATTACTGGAATGTATATTTTACCAAATTGTCTTATTCTATATTTTTAAACAAGTGAAATTCTAAATATTTAAATAAAAATTATTTCTATACAAATTCATCGATAATATATTTAAATAAAAATTATTTCTATAAAACTTCATCGATAATATATTAATTTATTATTTAAATATATCATGTATTATTTTAATTTTAATTAATATTAAATTTTACATAATTTATCTAAAAATATATTAAAATTTTACATCAACATTTAACTAAATGTTCAATATTAGGGATTTTTAACTTTCACTACGATATTGAATCGACCATGACAATGATTTCGTTGGCTTTCTCAGGAATTCGACTCCACATACGGTCCAGCTTGGCACTGCATTGTGGGAACTAGTTGCGGTTCATACGTGATGCATTCACTGGGAGGTTTCTTGTATTTTTCAATCGACAAGGTTTACATTCTTCTCTCCAAGACCGCTGTCGAGTACATACGTGATGCATTCAATCAACAAGTGTGTTTGGGAATGTAAGATTTCAACAGATTTGTGTGTTCTACACAGTTCTTGTGCTGGTAACAAATTTACAAAATTTCCATTTTGAAGTTACATGTACAACTACAGAGTGCAGAAGTGATAAACATATCTATTTTTTTGGTTCATAAGTGTACTTGTTTGGTTCGCAAAAGAAATAGCATTGCTTAAGCAAACCGATGTTTTTATTATGGCCAGCTGCATCTCCAGAGGTAGAGTTATGGAGATGGATTGCTTCCAGAGATTTTGAGCGAGAAGCCTTCAAGTTCTTGTCTTTTCCAACTTTAAGTCTTCTTTCAACAGGATCATAATTCCTACCGAATCACATACAATAAATCAAATAATCCAATCATAATAACATACTAATCATGTTAGGGAGGAAAGATTCATAAACTGACAGGAAAAATACTTACTCATTCATGATTCCACCATTTACAGAATCGCAATACCGTTTCAGCCATTGTAAGAACTCCAAATTATCCAAAGGTCTACCTTTAACAAGTCTATTGACTTCAATATGCTGCAAATGGCAGAATTACGGGTATCAGATTTGAACTAATTCAAGAAAACCATAGGAAATCTAACTCGTACAAAACTATTCATGTGGAGGAATATGCTCAATTGCCAACAGTAATGAACAACACATGTTGACCTCAAATCTTAATTCATGAGGTGTAGTGTAAGCTTCAACTCCTATAAAAGCATCTAAATAGTACCATCCATTTTTATGCCAAAAGCAAAATTTTAGATCCCTCAATGGCATCATGACAGTTTTTCTATTTTTTTCACAATCTCGTTTCGGCATACTACCGAAAGAAGTGCAATTCACATGAGAGCTAATCCACACTCTGCTTCCTTTTTTTAGGTTTTCAGTATCCCATATGCAAATCGATGTGATGAAGGATACTGAAGGTGAATTTCTTTAATTCTTTTAAAACGTGTAGTAAAAAAAGACAAACTACATATGTTAGCCATTGAAAGATATTTAACTACCTTGTCAATTTTCAACTTGTTGAATACTTTTTGCAGAACCTTGTAATTTTGGATCATATCATATTATGTTTTTGCATCAAAATTCACCTGCATTCCAATTAAAATCACGGAAAATGATTTTCACGAGGAAAATTAATTAAGAAAACAATGCAGACACGATGAATAAAGCGAGCTAATTCACCTTGTGCATTGGCACAGCTCCTGGATAGGTCATATCTATCAATGACATTGTACAGCACCAGAGGCAGCCTGGAAGCAAATAGTTATTTAAACTAAAGATAAGTAATGAATGTCAAGATATAAGAGAACACATTTAATAGAGTGGTAATATCATATTACATCCGCACAGCCTTCAAGATCAAGCTCGAGTCAAATACCTAAGTCAATCTACAAAACAAACATGAGTTTCTCGTCTGTGTTTTGCAGTTTGACTTAGCTGTTCGAGTCAAGTTTTATCGAGTAAGGCTGCACAGATCGCCATAATTACTAAGGAAACCTCAAACCAACTATAGACTAAAATGTCAGAAATACACATATCATCACCCACTTTTGATCCTAATGTAAATTCCATGTGCTCTCATGTTATCCTAATTAAGACACCATCAGGCATCAAGCAGGGGCAGTATAATAGCTTGGAAATAGACATGATAACACAATCATCTGGTCTCAGCATTATCCTAATCTACAAAAGCAAGCAAAGGAAGAATGTTCCCAAAATTATTTCTCGGCTTCTAGCTGTATCAGAGAAATTACTGAAGTATAAATAAAAATATTTCAAAATAAGGTTGGAAAAAAGGTAAAATTATTAACATATTACAAGTACCATTTCTCTACCATGGAAAAAGAACAAGGGAAACCAACACTTTTCAAGTAAATCAAAAATTAACAAAAGAAATAAATTCAAACATCAGTAAATCTTAAACAAGATTCCAATATGAAAATTTATTAGGATGGGCCAAAACAATCCCATTTTAATGAAGAAAAATATAAACTAATTTCAAAGCATTCTCTCTGTTCTCCATTAAAATTAATCAGAAAAATGAGGCAAAAAGTGTTCATTTCTAGTAAAAACAAAATGAAACAATCCTACATTGGCATATACAATGCATGGGGAGGCCATTAAATTAAAAAAACAACAATAATTAATAAAGAAACAATAATTACCCATAGAAAAGAATAATTTAGCATATATTATTAAAAAAGTTTACTTCTTCAATGCGAGAGATTGAGCTGAAGTCCGCTATTGATCCACGTTAAAATCTCATTTCTTCCAACAAAGTAAGCACTATCCATCATACCTATATTCGTCGCCATTTCTCTCTGCTTCTTTTTACTGCTATTGTTTTTATATTTTGTTTGAGCTTATCAAATTATAAACAAAAATAAAAAACCAGAGAAGCTGTGGGTATTAAGAAGGAAAGATTAAGGCGAAATCCAAGGGGAGGGGCTTTTGAAAATGATGTTCAAATTTGGATTTTTATTGAATTATTTAGAAAACGAAAACTGAAAGAAATGGATGGTTGAATTGAATTTTCAACGTCAAAACAGAAAGAAAGAAGAAACAAGCAGCAATGACAGCCACCGACCCTCTTTATTACGACAAATGGCAATTGCTCTTTTCTCAATAATCTAAATAAAACAGTTTTCAAATAGGGAGAGAGAGATGAGCCTAGCAAGAGCTTAGCAGATACAACAAGACAGAAGAAGAAGTCCGTTGAAGCAAGAGATATCTCCTCGCAACAATTCTCACCAAATTGAAGAAGAAAGAATATTTTGTTTCAGCCAGAAGCAAACTAACGGGGGAGAAGAGTATTTTAGCCAACAAAGGACATGTATAAACAAATACCTAAGGGGATGGGGGACTAACATTCCCAGTAAAACAGGGGAAAAATCACTGTTGGTATTCAATGTTTACCCTCACTTGGGAATATGGCCATCCAAACGAGGGTATCTTAACTCGGGGAAAAAAGATTCCTCCCAAGAATGTTTTAATCCGTGAACCAAACGGGGCGTAAGGATAATCCACAATTCCATGGCTTATCATCGTCGAAAACAGTAAAAGGTCAAATGTTGTTATTCATCCCTGTATTGTACTTAACTTAGGGATCTAGTCCTCTTAATGTCTATATTGTTAATGTTATTCCTTAGCTCAAACCACTAGTATTGTTTAAAAAAAACCATTATGATTTTTTTTAAACATGGAAATCATAACGGACATATGTAATCTTCGATTTGGATTAATCGATTAACACATTGAATATCAATGGTTAAA